TGCTTTGCTCCTCTTTCCTTTTGGCTTCACGTTTTCTTCAGCCTCCTTTGCTTCAGCCTCCTTGGCTTTGCTCCTCTTTCCTTTTGGCTTCACGTTTTCTTCAGCCTCCTCTGCTTCAGCCTTCTTGGCTTTGCTCCTCTTTCCTTTTGGCTTCACGTCTTCTTCAATGTCCTCTGCTTCAGCCTCCTTTGCTTTGCTCCTCTTTCCTTTCGGCTTCGGATCCTCTTCAGCCTCCTCTGCTTCAGCCTTCTTTGCTCTGCTACTGCTACTCCTTCCTTTTGGCTTTGCATTCTCCTCCTCGTCCTCAGATTCTTTTGGTGCAATTTTCTTCTTGGGTCTGCCTTTGCTTTTTGGCTTGGGTTTGACAGGATGTTCCTCTTCTGACCCATCCTTTTTTTCTTTCTTCGTGCTGAAGTTTTGATCTTCACGGGTGATGAATGGAATAGTTGCCCAACCAGGTGGCTTCTCATAGACAGAAGTCTTGGCCGTTTCACCTTCACTTTGCTTTGGCTCCTCCTTCTTTTCCTCTTCACTTTGCTTTGGCTCTTCCTCCTTCTTTTCCTCTCCACTTTGCGTTGGCTCTTCCTTTTTTTTCTCTTCCATGTGCTTGTCAGCTGGACCTCGAACTTCACCAGCCAAGCCCGCATCTGCCTTCTCTGGAAGTTCCATAGCAGCATCGTCCTCATTGGCCGCAGCTAACCCATAGTTGTCATCAATGGAGTGCACCTCCACTGTGGGATCCCCACCAACATCCCACAGCTGCGTCTCCACAGCGTCTCCACCTCAGAGCTTCCATGATGAACAAAGGTAGAGCCATGACAAAACACTAGCTTTCAAGTATACAATTATGTTTAAGGCAGCCAGAGAACATGCTTGGAGAAGTTCCGCTTCTTCTTTCTTTCCTGCCTTCTCAGCCAGATCTTGTAGTGCAACTAACTTGGCCAGCTGCTGCTCCAGCTCATGCAGCAAACGAAGCTTCCTAGCCACAAACTCGGCCTTCTGGTTTTCCTTGGATGTAGGTGGCAGATACCCCAGAAAGAACCCCCTACAGTTGATCCCCCACCAAATAAAAGACTTATAGCTCTATACAATATCAAGGGTCCGTCATAGGATTTGGCGGTGTCAATGAAGGCGTGTTTACACCTGCGAAAATGGTAAATAACTCAGTGATTTAAAGGCTGCAAACTGACAAGCTGTTGCCCAGCCTGATCGGGGGAGTGGAGTTTCAATCACGGTAGGTGAGATTGGCGAGAAGACTGGATCCTCTTGCTGCATCAGGCCCGCTGAATCCTGGGCGACATGTTTCTAATTTTTACCATGTAGTTGACTGGCTTTTGTGATACTACATGGGTGCATATATTGTTGGTTGGTACACATGGCAGTTTTGCAAACAGTCTTGGAGCCACACCTTTGGAAGCTTTGGAAGAAGCCCTGCTTTGTGAACAGTCGAGTCACCTCACATGTATGTAGCGCATGCAATATGCATCGAGTATGCTATGCACACTTTACTCAGAAACATTATTTATAAGCATCTAAGTTCATTCCAGGGCACCTCCAGAAGTGGGAGCTTCAGCTTCAGCGACACACTGCTGGTCAAAAGAAACGACACCTGGGTCGGTCCTTGCACAACGTGTATCACCTGAACATTCATTGCCATCTCTCACCTCAGCAGACTCTAGAGTCAATTTTCCCATTTCTCGGCTTAAACCATCCTCAAAATCATTGGGCTTCTGTTCAAGGGCCTCCCCCTTAACATCAGGTTTCTCATCGGCCTTTACCTCAGGATTTTCACCATCATGTTGTTTCACCTCCCCCTCATGTTCACTGTCAAGCTCTTCCTCCACCTCCTCGTCTACGGTTTCCTCCTCAGACTCCTCCCCCTCCTCCTCACCACAATCTTCATCCTCAAGGGTGTTTGAAGACCTGGTGCGCTCAGGAAACTCGTGGTCCAAGGCCTTGAGTAGGGAACGGATCTCCGGCTCGCGGGGTATGTCCTCACGACGGATGACATCGTTCAAAATCGTAATGCACCTCCGGATCATCCAGCCTTGAAGACTGCTCACCCCACCTTAGCAAAATTTACATGGCTCATAAATAATTCGGTTGAGACCCTACATGAACGTTCGTGAACATTGCACATGTTTAAGTGCAGCTAGCTGGCCTCCAACAGCAGCATCCAACATTTCATAGAATGCTTGAACATGCAAGGCACATGTGTCAACAGACACCCTGTAGCCCAACTCTTCCACTGCCAGTTTGATCACCATAATGTTCTTCGACAGGGTCTCACGCGTGACCTTTTTTCCTGTACTGACTACCTGAGAAGCGCATGCACTTACAGTAGGTGGAAAGCAGGGAGGTATATTGCACATATATATTGGTCATGCATCAAAAGACTAATTGGTTGATGAGAGGCGAGTTGGTGTCGGACTCCCCGGCGTCTGAGCTCAGGGACACCCTCCCATTTTTCAGCCAAGCGTGTCGCCATAGCTAGCTAGCTAGATGTTGTTGAAAGTTCTGCACATGTGCCACATGTGTAACGCGTGCTCAGGAAACTTTGTGGCATGAGGGTGGGTCAGCACATGGATGCCTGATACGATCCGTCATGTTTGAGAAGTGCTTCAGTCTTTTTGCCAGAGCCTTGATTTGCAGGCGGGTGATCAACCAGATCCTGCTCAATGACTGGAATGCACTTCTCACATACAAAGAACACTTACCAGCACATCCAAAAAACAGGTGGGCGCACCAACCACACAGCAAAGAGGCTTCCAGTGTCATGAGCTGGAAAGTAGGTGAATTAAAGCCAAAAGGCTGCACAAGGCAGTCTGGATGCTGAAGTACTCTGAAAACATATGATTTTCAAAACTCCGGGAACTTCCAGGAGTTTCCCAAAAAAGAGGGAAAAGCAGTGAACTCCGCAGTCAACGTGTTTTTTCAAGTAGTTGGAAGGTCCAGGTATACATGTGCATATTGTGTTTGTAACATCTGATGATATTAAATTGAAACGCTATTCTTAGTGGTACTCTGCTCCTCCTCCTCCTCATCAGGTGCTCCAGGCTCTTCAACATTGATTGGAGCTTCAGGCTCTGGCCGAAGGAGTGGTGCTGACAGCGATGGGTCGAAAAGAAACCTTGGATTTGGACATTCGGCCCCTAGGACATGGGTGTGTATAGAATCGCTGCAAACCCTATAGTGATGCCAGAAACTTCTTGAATAAGGAGATGCCAGTTCTTTTGGATAAGCAATAAGCGCAACTACCCCAAAACCTTCTTTGGACAAGCCACTTGTTGGCCCAAACCTGTATGGCATTGTTCTTCGCATGACTAGTCACAAGAAAGGCACCACTGGGGCTGAAGCAAAGTCCCAGCGCTGGCTGTGCAAAAAGGAAGGAATCGATGCACCGCGCCGCAGGGAGGTCAAAAATCCGTAGTCCCCCGTCGCACACGGCCGCCGCCAGCCATCGGCCGTCCGGCGCAAAGGCCAGGTCGGTGGCTGGCACACCACACCTCAAGTGCAAAGCAGTTCTCCTTGGGAGAAACAAGGGCATCCCTACTAATAACACGGGTATTACTACTAGTAGCAAGAAGCTACTAGTAGTTCCTGGCATTACTACTAGGAACAAGAAGCTACTAGCAACAAGGGCATCGCTACTAGTAAGCATGTAACAAATAGACAAATGAAGGCGCTAGTAACGCTAGACGCTAGTCAGGAGAAATCAAGTGATGGTCGTTTCTCTCGAATGTGGATGAAGGTGGTGCCCGTTCTTTCTTGCATTGCGGAAGGTCAATGGTACGTCAGTCATTTCATCAGAAGAGCTCCCTTGTCGAGGTTTTGCTTCTCAGCCAGGACACTGGAAGGAGCGGACGATCGACTTGCTGTTCAAGTCTACGATGGCTAAAGTCCCATCATCCAAGCCGCAGGCCACCAGAACGCCGAAGTGCTTCACAATGAGACAGCTCGGGCCTCGTTGGCCCAAGGGAATGCTCTCCAAAGCTTCCTGCACAGCTCAAGTGGAGCCTCAAAACATGCTGGAAATGGGGAAAGCGTCCCTCCTGAATTTATGAATTTAGTGCATCTAAACAACAGCAACCCGATAGTCAAAACATGTCAAAACAAAAAACTCGGGATACATCCGGAGACCGGGCTCAGGACAAAAATCCCTAAAATGCAAGTTTGCCAGGAAGTCGAGAGCCGGTCTTACAGCATTGACGTCTGAAGGACACTCCAAACATTCATGAATTCCCTTTGTGCCACACGTTGCTTCCCGTCCAAAGTAGGAAAGGAAGGCCCCCTGGTCGCCAATGTCTTGATTTTTGATGTTTGGGGTGCAGTAGTTCCCCCGAGTTTGGTGTGCTCTGGTCATTCTCTCCCGACCAGCCATCTCACGCGGGTCTCCTGTGTGCTGAGCTTCCAAAGTCTCAGGCAACAGTCCTTGGGATAGACCGCAGGACACACTTTTAGCTTTTAGCCCCTGCTGCCCAATGTCTGCACGCCACAGACTCGGTCAAACCGGAAACCAGCATCAGTCTCCCTATTGGCTCCAAACTGTTGGAGAAAAGAGCCATGATCATGCTGCGTAGCTGTCTTGGAGTGAAAGCTCTTCCAATTGGTCCCACAAAAGTTCATTTCTGCTGGTCAGTAGCTGCTTGGTCCAATACAAACTGGGTCTCATGGAATAAAGCACCGGTAAATCGCGTCCTAATCAAATGTACTGCAACAGTCAACCAACATGATACTGATAAGTATATTGTGATAAGAGCATATTATATATATATATAAATACTAACTTCAGCTCGTTTGCTGACTTCATGATCAACTTTGCAATGTCCCTGAGCTCTTTCAACTCACTTTTGTTTTGTCAGCATTCGTTGGGTTGAGTGGCACGAAAATCTGCCACATAGACTCTAGACCCCTAATGATGAGTGGAAACATCACAAGTCCTGCATGTAGCCTCGCACTTCCACATATACGTGTCGGATGCATGGTGCACCTCAAATTCTGCTTTTTGGTCACGGCCTTGCCGCTGAGGCTCCTTGGGATGTGAGGCAGCTGAGGCCACCTGTCCCGAGCTGGTGATGATCACTCCGCACACACGCCCCAAATGCGCCAATGGCGGGCCCGGAGGGGCCTTGGCCATCGCCGGGCGCTTCGGGACCTGCAAGGCTTCATGGCTTCACTTCGCTTCGTGGCGCCACGAAAGTTTCGCACAGATCTGAGTTGAAGTGATTTGAGTCGCAACGAACATTTGAACAGCGCATGGGACCTATTATATGGCCTATGGCATCTATGGACATGCTACCCGAAACATTGAAGAAATCTGGTTGAAAAAAAACCACTTACCACCTTTATAATGCCCTTGCACTCTTTTTGCAACTTTTTATATAACGCACATCTGTTCAACACCCCGCCTTTACCCCAAAGGAGTCTGGATCCTGCTGTCCAACAGCTACTATGGGGATAGTGCCACGGTGCAATCCCGACTGCAAGTTGAACTTGTGCAAGGCCCCATTCTCCAAACCCAAAATGCAATAGTTGCCGCACGTGCTCACTGCCACCGCTGAGACCGGGCTCTTCCCACTTAGCTCGCCAGGTGGAATCAGCACTGTCGTGGACAGGGCTTGGTGGCTCGGGGACCAAACCATAGCAGCCTGCAGTCCGTTGTGCACTGTGACTACACAGGGCCAATCATAGTGCCTCACCTCCACACAGTTGATAGGTCAATGCAGGTTTACGGAAAACTGCAAACCTTTGCCACACATGGAATCATGCAATTGAACAGAAAAAACATGATAGTGTCGAAATAGGACAGCCAGTTGTCCTCACAAAGCATGACGCCTGGGAAATTGCAACGTCCACCACTGGCGGGAGCTCCAGATTGCCCACCGCAACGGCCTGCGAGTTCATCTTCTTCAGGGATGCTTGAGAGTATTCCTCAGATGCGTTCGTCAAAGGTAACCTGGTGCATATTGCGACACCAAACCTTTACAACCACAACTGTTTTTATGCCATTCTTGGCCAAGACTCCTTGTTTTGTTGATCCTGAATGAAGGAAATCTTGGACAGAAAACCATTGCCCTTAAAGCCGCCTCCCACAATCAGCTCCTTGTCACCTAGCGCAGCCAATGTTACCCATGCCCACAGGCAGTAAACAAGTGGACATATTTTTGATTTTTGATTGAGGTTTTGGCATGCTTGGGAATATTTGGGAATGGTTGCTGCCTCCCAAAGACTCCAGGCATCAGGGAATGCCGGTCAGTCTTATGGCTGTTTCGGGGCTCCTCAAAAGGGTTTTTCACCGTCGATTGTGTTAGATTTCATGCCGTAGCCCGTGGCCCTACTCCACTCGATGTGATCGTAAACTAAGGGCGGAAGCTGCTTCTTATGCAAATTGTAGAACAACGCAGGGGGAACAACCCAATGTGCCAATGTGGATTTGTCTGAACATGAAAAGGCCCGCAGCGCACAAGGCCCAGCCACACAAAAAAAACAGCCCTGTCCAACCCAGCCTTCACCATAGAACTGGAGTTTTCGCGCGGGCCCCGGACAGCCACAACGGCCTTTCCTTTCAGTGGCCGGCCGGGAGTTCCCAAACATGGTGGGTTGGGGCGGGGTGGACTTGGACAACTTTTTTGGCTGGGACTTCAAGGGAGGGCAAGGGAGACTAGCTGACTCACATTCCTGGAGCCCACCTTGAGAATCCACATACGCTTAGCAACGGGATCCATCAGTGTCCCTTCGCCATTTTCCATTGCCAACCCCTTTTCAATGGTGTATGTATGTATGTCTGTCTGTCTGTCTGTCTGTGTGTGAATGTGAATGTGTATTGTATGTGTGAGTGTATGTCGGTTCTGTTCTGTCCTGTTCGGGTCCGGTCCGGTCCGGTTGTCTGTATGTATGTCTGTCCGTATGTATAGTGAAAAATGTTAATATATGCAAATGTTTGAATATAGTTGATTTCTTCCCGCTTCAAAATAACATTTTTTGTCCGCACCCATTGCACCACGCTGCAAATATCTCGACATACCATCTGCAGTATCAAAGATCCACATCTTCACCTGCAGTTGCCACTTCCGGGAAGGTGCAGCTTGCATGGCTTGCGGATGCGTTCAGCTACAAGTGCCATGGATGAGCAATGTCCCGGAACATCTCCAAACACCTGGACACGCCCTCTGGAACCATCTTTATATCCCAATGTGCTGCAGTAGGCTGCTTATTGATACGACAAATGCAAGCCCAGGGCCCAAACACCGGAACACCGACATGGAGACCGAGTCAGGAAACAGTAAAAACACGAGTCAGGAAACCTAGGAGGGTATCAAAGCGTGGGAAGGTGACTGATTCGGGAGGACCATCCGGATGCGAGTCAGGAAACCTCAGCGGGAAACCTTTTGGACTGGAGAGATGTAAGGCTGGAAAACTTAAAAAATTGAAGCTATGAGCCAGTGAGAGGACCGGGGAGTCGGGGAGTGAGTCAAACCTTGACGGGCAGAGAGTCAGGAAGAAACGGGCGGATGGAACTCTGTGTCACGAGGTCACATTGCGCGGCCGCTCTCACGAGTGTCACAAATGAGAAAGTCAGGCCACCACATCCGAACTCCATGGCTTTTCAAGCCAATGCCATCTCTTGACAGTCATCCCAATTAATCAATTAAATCTCACTCAAAATTTACGCTCTGCGAGAGTAATCCCAAAAGTCGACTGAGGTGCTCATCAGTCTCAGCCACGCTCACTTCGCTCACATCAGGCTTGCGGCTGGCGGCGAAGGACAATCTGCTCTGGTAGGGAGGACGCAGGAGAAGCTGGCGGCTTCCCATCGTCAGCTCGGCTCCAGCCATGGAACAAAGGCGACAATCTCAACAGTCGTGTCACAGGCCTGAGTGCCCGACCGAAACTCTGGCAGTTGAACTTCAAGCTCAGAGCGAATCTTAAGCCTCAAGGCCGCGTTCACGGTCCAAGAATGGGTGTGCACGGTCAACATGAAGAAGCAAAAGCCGTGGTGACTTAGCAGGCCACATCTCATGCTCAGGCAGTATTGCCAGCTTCTGATCACACCTTGCAGACCAAGCGATTTCACATTGAGCTCTGACACCGAGTCTATTGAGATCGGAACCCAACTTTCTCCGTCAGCCACGACAACCCCATTAGCCGTAGCATAACGGCGTCCCCAAGAATGATCAAAGGCCGTCGATTGCAGCCAAAGGATGACAAAATAAGCAAACTCACTGACGCATTGAGGTCGGTTCCCCCCACCCCACTGCGAAAACAGACTGTGCAAAACAGGCATATCAACAAGCCGTGTCGCCGTGTCGGAACCCACATGTCAGTAGCAAGGCTAGCTTCTCATGAAGCCTAGGGACAAAAGCTTCCATCCCGAAGTCTTCCAAGCACAGCAAGCCCCAGGTCACTGCATAGAAGTGCTGATAATGCTGATGGCATAGCACCAGTTGGGCACCAGAGCTGTGTTGCTTTTGGGCTTCGACTTGCCCTTCCCTTTCCCATAGGTCAGATTCTGGAGGTTCACTGGAAGGGACGACCGTCTGGGGGTATGTTCCTGCACCGCTGCATGACAACGGCCCCAGATCGAGTTTTGGGCAAGGAGCGCCATGTTCTCCATCAACCCGTCTTCCCTCATGGAGAGCTGCAGCTTCCATGGGGTGGTCAGCAAGCCAGGGGTCTTGGGAGGTTTCAAAGCCTGGAACTTCATGACCATGGAGGCTGTCTCACCTGCCCCAGCAACTCCTGGAGCAACTCCAGCATCTTGGTCATGGGGAGACTGTGTTTGTGAATGTCCATGGTCAGCGTCTTCTTCTCTGGACACCATTGGGTGTACAGTATAGCAAACTTCCGTCCTCCAACAACACCCTTGAGGCCAAGGCCTTCTTCCAAGCCAGAGACTCCTGTTTCTCCTTGCTCAGTGCCAAGGCTCGGTCCAAGTGCCCCTGAATCATGGCCGTGGAGAGAGCTATGCGACGATGGGGGCTTGAGCAGAGCCTGTCGGACGGATGGTGTGGCGGCGCAAAATGGTCTTGAAAAACAATGCAGAACTTCAAACCAAAAAGAGGGTCTCCAGGAGAAGCAAGCAACGCGAAGCAATGCCGAACGCTTTTCTAAGCTGCGAAGCGCACATCGATGGCTGCAGTCATCGAACACGAATCGGAACATGCCACCAAGCTCAATCACAAGAAACCACAAGCGTTCCACTCAAAATCAACCACATCGGTGAAAAAGGATGTTGGTGGCGTGTTCCTCAACTTCAACAATCGGGCTTTACGCCGCTCACGCTGACCTCTTCGCAAGCCAGCGCGGCGGCTCTCACGCTCCTGATCTTCAGGCGTCTCCCGAACACAAATCGTCCCCCATTGGACTTGAATTCAAGAAAGAGCTCGTCCTGCATGTCCTTCGTGAGTCCATCCGCAAACTGGCGCCATGTAGTATGCGCCCATGCCGACAACATCGAAGCCCTCTCGACCAACTGCTTGGCTGCTAAGATGTCCAACATCGTCTGACTGTCTTTCAGCAGTCAGGTGACCAGTCTTCTGAAGATGGTCAAACAACGCGGACTCAGCCAGCAAACGAAGATACAGTTGCTCATCCGCTGCAGTGCTAAGTGAGTTGCCCTCTGCTGCAAGGCTCGACTTGACGACGCGGACGATCTTGCTGCTCCTAAACTCCACTATGTTGGCAATGGCTGGAGACTCCAATGCCTGTGTTGTGGAAAGGAAATGGACCTGCCCTTGCTGTGCTCGAAACGAATCGCTCTTGCCCAAAGAAGCATCAAAAAATGAGATGCAGTATGGCTCATCCGGTAGTGGTCGATGAAGAAGCTGCATCTGACCTTCTTGCGCAAGGCGCTTGAACTCATTCAGCAGATGATTCACATTTCTCGCATGCACCATGGTCGCTCCCAACACTTGTTGCGCAAGTTCACTTACAGCAAACAGTCTCTCAGGAAGGACATACTGGGCGGGCCATCTCAACTGCATGACCAAGCGTCAAAAAGCAGTCTTCTGTGTGTCGTTCAGGAGGTTGTCCGACTTGTCAACAATCATCGGGTCGATCTTCTCAACATACAACTTCATGCAATCTTTTAGCGCTCCATCACGCAAAGAAATCTTGCAAGCAAGGAAATCAATTGCCTCTGCACCAAAAAGCTTCCATTCCTTGATCGACAAGTTTTGATCAATGGAAGACTTCAAGCGCTGAAACTCCGGACGCTTGGGATGTCCTGCCAACAAACCATCATCCACATGAAGAGTACACACTGAGATCGTGGCACCATTGTTGACCTTGACAAAGGTAGCTCTGGCATAGGGGAGTTCTGTCATGCCCGCAGCAAAACACTCTGACAACTCCTTGACATGATGTCCAAGGCGTCTCCCCTTTCCCTTCGTCATAGTGGCCATCCGGCCGGCTCCAAAGAACTTCACTCTCAGCTCCTTCCACTTCTGAGCCAGTCGACAGATCTTCACCAGGGATCTCATTGCCAAACTCATGGGAGGTGGTAGTAGCATCTGAACCAGACCCATCTGACAAAGAAGACTCCGCATCGGAGAATGACATCTTGACAAGCGGTGGTTCAAAGACTCCCATATCCTCAACAAGGCTCATCACTTCTGGCTCCAGAGTGCTCTCTGACGATGGTTCAGACATGAGCTCGACCTCACTTGACAGGCTGTCACTCGAAGAATTCTCACCTGTCCCAACAGAGGTTGAAGGACCCTATAGACTATCCAAAGAGTGCCTGTAGCACTGAGCTCAACTCCTCCAATGGGCCATACTGTAGCAAGTCCAAGCCAACAGCATGGGTCGTACTCGTCCAAAGGCTTCCATAGTCCGATTCCCAAAGTGGAAACGATCTGCCACCTGGACATGTCTGCTGGGCCAGCCAGACCAGGACAATCAGAAGCATCCTCCTCCACTTCAGACGTCCTGAGCAATGAATTCACTCCACGAAGGCCGATGGGATACAAAGGGCACACTTGGCAGTGATAGGTTGAAGACGGCGTACAAGCGTTAACATTAGCTGGTTTTTCGGCGCGCAACCCGGTGTTTGAGGTGGTGCGCAGGGTGGTGCGCAGCCTGGTGCTTGGAGTGGTGCGCGCGCACCACTCTGCGCACCACTTTGCGCACCGCTTTGCGCACCATTTTGCGCACCACTTCAAACACCGCTCTGAGCTTCTGGTCGGGTTCCATTGGCTTCCGTCCCAGCTTTGAACGCCCAGAATTTAGCCAATTTTTTCACAATTCCACCCGCCCACACACTTTGTTTCTCAATTTTCGTCTTTCCGTTGACTTCCGTTGAACTCCCACTGGGTTCCATCCCGGCCTTTAACGCCCAGAATTTTGACGAGCCAGGGCACACAGTTTTCCTATGTTTTCCTGAATTTATTCAATTTGGAGTCTTTTCTATTGAGTTCCATTGGGTCCGCTGACTTCCGTTGAGTTCCCATTGAGTTCCGCTGAGTTCCGGTTGGGTTCCATGGGCTTCCGTCCCAGCCAGTAAAACGCCCAGAATTTAGCAAATTTCTCCGCTCCTCACGTTGTTTTCCTCAATTTTCTTCGATTTGGAGTCTTTCCGTTGAGTTCCGTTGACTTCCGTTGAGTTTCGTTGAGTTCCCGTTAGGCTCCGTTGAGTTCCAGTTGGGTTCCATGGGCTTCCGTCCCAGCCACTATTTAAAACGCCCAGAATTTAGCCAATTTCACCGCTCCTCGCGTTGTTTTCCTCAAGTTTCTTCGATTTGGAGTCTTTCCGTTGAGTTCCGTTGACTTCCGTTGAGTTCCGTTGACTTCCGTTGAGTTTCGTTGAGTTCCCGTTGGGTTCCGTTCAGTTCTGGTTGGGTTCTATTGGCTTCCGTCCCAGCAGCTATTCACCCCCAGAATTTAACCCTTTTTTGGCCATTTCACCCCTCTACACTGGAATCTTTCCGTTGGGTTCCGCTGACTGTTGGTGGGTTCCGTCAAGTCCCGTTAACTTCCACCAAGTTCCGTTGAGTTCCCATTGGTTTCGGTTGAGTTCCGGTTGGGTTCCATTGGCTTCCGTGCCAGATTTTAACGTCTGAGATTGAGCCAGTTTTTTCACCATGTCACCCCTCCACAAATGCTTTTCGGCTTGGAGCCTGTCCGTTGAGTTCTGTTGACTTTCGTTCGGTTCTGTTGAGTTCCCATTGAGTCCTGTTATAAGATGTTCTAAGTTCCGTTAGTTCCGGTTGGGTTCCAGTGGCCTCCGTCCCAGCTTTGAGCGCGCTGAATTTAACCAGTTTTCGACCAGCTCACACCTCCACACACTGTTTTGCGCGAATTTACTTCGAGAGTTCTACAGACTTCTGACGCCCGAATTATGGGCAGCTTTTTTGGCAAATGCCACTTCGCGCAAACGTATTTTTCTCAGATTTCTTCAATTTGGCGCCTTTTAGCGCGCAACTTTTGAATGATCAATCTGACCACCCCCTCGCGCACCACCCTGCGCACCCCTCCAAGCACAAATTTTTAAAGGATGATTCTGACCCCCCCCCACGCACCACCCTGCGCACCCCTCCGAGCACAACTTTTTGAAGGTCAATCTGATCCCCCCCTGCGCACCACGCTGCGCACCACCTTTTTGAAGGTCAATCTGACCCCCCCCTCAACGAAGCTGTCCACATCCATGTGATCGTTTGCGTTGGGCTGCAAATCAGCATGCGCACTTTGCTCGTTGCCGGCAGTGTGATCTCAAGAATGTGTTGGCTTGGCATGAACGTCATGGTTCCTAAGTCGCCAAGAAGGCAGTGGACACAGACACTGATCACATGATGCTGCCGACTACTGGAATCTTGGCCATTGGTGATTCAGGCTGCAAGACAGCCGTTGGAGGCATTGAGTGGCATCGTCGCTTTCAGGAACAGCTGCAGCGGTGAAGGGATTGAGCTGGAAGACCATTCCTGAGCAGGAGGTGTTCAAGTTTCGAGCAGGAGCACCTATCACTTGATGTAAGCGTATAAGCGTTAACGTTGCGAAGTGTGAAACCTTGAAATTGTGGTGTTCAGGGTGGTGCGCAGGCTGGTGCGCAAGAGGGGAGGTCAAATTGACCCTGCAAAATTGGTGCTTAGAGGGGTGCGCAGCTCCGTCGGCACTGATGAACCCTCAGACGGCTTCAATCTTCCTCCACGACTCAACCGTTCATCATAGAGAGCGGTTGCAGCGTTGTCCGCTCGCGCCCCGGTGCCACTGCTGTTGATTGCCTATAGGCGCTGGATCAGCTGAGGAAGGGCCACGATCATGCGATTCTTCAGGATAGCCACTCTTCTTCACTGCTTCTCTGGCTGCTCCAACAACTGACGCTGCAACTGCTTCTTCTCACCCCGACTCATGTATGGCAAAGCTGCCAATGCATCCTCCATTGTGACCAAGGTAGGGGGTCGATCTCGTCCTCGTGCTGCGGCTCGAGCTTTCTGCAACCTTCTGATCCTTGGCATGGTCAATGTGCTCAAACCTTCCATCGGTCACATTTGAAGCTGAGTCGGTCTCATTGGATGAAGCATATTCGAGCAATAGACTTCCACGCTTGTGCTCATTCTTGACCCTTGATGAACTCTCCAAAGAACAACCACAGGCTGAGCAAAGTCATCCTCTTTGACCGCCTTGGAGCAGGAAGAGCACTGACGAGTGATCGACTTCCTCCCTCCCCTTGGGAGGTTGTTTGGGTCCAGGCATCAGTCCCTGGGAACGATCTGGGACATAGCAATGCTCACGCGACTGGAGAAGCGAGCTGACTTTGGACGAAAGGCGTGCGCTCGCCTTTCTTCCTCATGGATCTTCTGACAACGATGTCTGAAGGCTCGCTCAATGTCTTTGGAAACTTAGGCTCCTCCGGCAGAGAAAAAGCAATCCAAACATTCTCGCTTGGTGAGGGAGGCACGAACCAAAAGTCTCTGAGCCCGAGCTCGATCTGAAAAGTCGTCTGAGGGCCTGAGGGTCCTCACGGGCATAGTAGGCCTTCAAGCGCTTGATCTGACTGAGGTAATTATGCTGCAATCGATTGACCCGGTTGGCGGCGATAGTTCGTGAACTCGCTCTCAACACGCTCAAAGTATTCTTCACTTGTCTCGTGATATCTCATAACTTTCATCGAGCAAATGCCAAACTCTGATCAGGCCATCCTTCTGCACCATCTTCTCGATCGTCATCTGCTCCAGCACATCACGGGCCTCCTTCTTGCACGACAAGTAAATATGAGCATTGCCAGTTCAGGGTCGGCCAACTGATATAGTTGCGGCTGTGCTCTTACAAATCTGCGCCACCCCGATACTTGCGCTCACCGTAGAAGTCCTCAATCTTGACAGAACCCAGCGAAGACTTTGGCCTTTCTGATTCCCTCCATCGGTTCTTCAACAAAGATCGAATCTCACTGGTCCGTGCTGACTCTGACGAATCCGGCTCAAAGGACTCGTCCGGATCTTCATCATCCGGATCACCCCAATCTGCGCCTGGGTCTCCAGGCGCACCACCATGCTTGCGAGAAGGTCCCTGCTGGATCGGATCGAGACCTGGAGGCTGACGGAGTGCCTGACGGTGAATCCGGATCTGGCGGATCAGACCTGCCTGATGGCCCCTTCTTAGAAGGTCGCTGAGTTCCCTTAGCATGCTGAGTCTCATTGGCCTGCTGCTGTCTTGTGTTGGTGGACTGCTGAAATGGTCGACGGGTAGGAGACGGGGAACCATGCCATGAACGATCATGAATATCAGGCTCTGTGGCACCTTTTGGGAAATCAGAACGCCACGAACCCTTCCCTCCAGACTGCCCTCTGCCCTTGCCCTTCTGTCTCGACTTGCCCTTCTCCCACTCTTGACTATTCCACCATTGCCGAAAAGAAGCAAGCAGCTCACTCGTAGGAACGGCCCCAACAAAAGATGAACTGCCCTTCCCAGCTGGTGAAGAGCTCCAAGGATCATATTCAACCCAAGGATTTGACTCCTGAGACTCGCCCTTCCGAGAGCCAGGTGGCGTAGGATGCTGCGACATGGCAAACTGTGGGCTCACCGGCCCAGGCACATCCATTGTCGCGAAGCCGTGCAGCCTATCTTCCCCAAAACAGGGCCACCCAGCCCCTCAGGCTCCGCTGCCAATGTGGCGGTGCAAATGGTCTTGAAAAAACAATGCAAAACCTCAAACCAAAAAGAGGGCCTCCCAGCAGAAGCAAGCAACGCGAAGCAATGCCGAAGGCTTTTCTAAGCTGCGAGGCGCACATCGATGGCTGCAGTCATCGAACACGAATCGGAACACGCCACCAAGCTCAATCACAAGAAACCACAAGCGTTCCACTCAAATCAACCACAGATGGAACATTGGAAAGATTGAACCTATGAGCCACGAGTCAGTTAACATCCAATGGAACGAGTCCGGGAAGGTAGAATGGAAACAAGCAGAATTGAACGGTCAAAATTGAGTCAGAGGAGACGGGTACCGACTGAGGAGGCGAAGTGGCAGTAGAAAAGGGTTCCCCCTTCTTTAATTTGGACCACTCTGCCTCCTGACTCAGTATATACCCATGTCACTACCCATGTCCTCCGAAAAGGGTAATCTTCTGTTTTTTAATCAAAACACTGGGGGCCCTGGTTGGTCACTAAGAAGTGAAGCCCCAAACCAAGCCGAACAAACCTAATGAAGTGAAGCCCAAAGAAGCCCTTCGGAAGTGAAGCCCAAGCCAAAAAATATCCTAAAGAAGTGAACTTCCACACTAATGCCAACGAAACACTTATATAAGCAATGACACCCTAAACCAAGCCCAAGCAACCCCTAAAGAAGTGCAGCCCTAAACCAAGCCGAACGAAACCCCAAAGAGGGGAAGCCCTAAACCAAGCCCAACAAAAACATCAGAAAAACCCAGAAGTGAAGCCCTAAACCAAGCAATGAGAAACCCTGGAGTAGTGAGTAGTGAGTAGTGAATCCCAGTCTGTTCTTACTATTGCTCTATTGTTGACAGGTTTCCAGGTTTCCTGACTCTGACAAAAAGGTGCCCCCGACTTGGATGTTGGGGTTTCCTGACTCACGGTTTCCTCGCTCTGGTGCAGGTTTTCAGCTCTGTCTTCTCCCATTGAAATTGCAACAGTCCTGAAGTAAGGAAGAGCACGTTATCAATATATATATATATACCTATATCATCCTATATCTAAGTCTAAGTTGCACAATTAGCGGGCCAGTGAAGAAACTCTACAGTGATCTATTGGTCAATCTGAGGCATCGACCGCGTTGTCGGTTCCACTCGTTATCCTCAGCAAGAAATCTCCCTCTCTCTCTCTCTCTCTCAGGCTGGTGAGTCCACTCCATGGGCCCCTTGAGCGCAGGGGATGATAGTTGGTGAAAGGAAGTCTGCCAAAGCGAACATCTACCAAAGGCTGGTGCAGTGTTTTAGATGATAAGAGTTGCGCAATGTCTTCCAGGTAGTCAAGTTGATTCTGCTTCTGCCACTTCTGCCCTGTTTTCGCCCATCCTCCAATCCTGACCCACCAACCCACCCACCCACTTTTCGCTGAACCGCATCCCACCCGTATCTTGGAAAGCTGACCAGGCAAATCCAGGCTGCAGCAAGGGTTCCTTGGGTACGAAGGCCATATGGGTGATCGGCCCTCGATGGGCTTCCCTCACATGATGCATTCTCCGCTTCTCGAGGTCCCAAACCACAAAGTGGCCTCGGATTGGTTGGTGGTTGAACTGCCCGACCCTTAACATATCTTCAGCCCTGGGAAGAATCATCTTTGGATTCTGTATCTCAGGCCAATGTTGTACACAAAACACTGTTGAACCATCAACCACATCAGCCCGTGAACTCGAGGCTTTGCACGGGGGTTTGATTGGGGGACTTGGATGGGAGGTTGCTGAAGGCTCTGCGCTCGAAGAGGTGGCATCAGCATTGTGAATGTCCACATGTTGTGCGATCGCACACGCTACACGGCTTTACGAGCTTCTCACCCCACGCTTCTATCCATCTGGGAGGTCACAACGCATCGTTTCCGCGGCTTGGCCTGTTGGTGCGCCGCTGACGAGGTAGGGCATGGAGGCGTCGTCGGAGCGGAAAGCAATGCAGCTCACGGGGCCCTGTGCCTGCTGCAGCTCGAAGAGTATTCGGTCCTGGCTGCCAGGGAGGACACTCAGAGGAGAGGAAGTGGATGCCAAGGCCCCTGACTGTAAATTACATTTCCGGCAGTAGAAGGGGTTGTCACTAAGTGGAGTGGAGCGTTCTCCCTGCTTGTAAATTACACCGGGAACAAGTCGATTCATTTACCTGTCGGATCCTGTCGGTTTTGGCATGCTGCATATGATTGTCCTCCATACCATCTCACCCCGCAGCGGAACGCGCCAGAGTTGAGCTTCAAAATGATATGCTTTTTATCATCAAAGAACCGGCCAACCGGGAAAGCGAATTCAAAGCCTTTTAAAGCATCATGGGCCGATCCCAAGCCACGATCCATAACAGCCAGCTCTTACAACATACTCACCCTGGACGATGCCGCCTAGCATCCTGCCAACATTTTCTACTATAGTTAATGTATATGTATTTATATGCATATGTATATATATATATTATATGTATATATATATATTAATGTTACATATTCTAGTGTTTTGCACATGCCAGTTGCTTCCCTTTGTCGTATTAATCCCAGTGGACCTGGCTGAGCCCACATGGCCTCTTTTCCAGTATCCTCTTCCCGGTCTCCTCACGGATGTTCATCAGGCAAATCCGGCCGCTTCGAAAGCCTACGGCCACCACATCCAGTGCTCCACTGGCCTCCATCAACGCAGTAATGCCCACTGCCTGTTCCGGCCTCGGAAGTCAGAGGAGTGGGGTCTGCGACTCGTAATTCATTTTGGCCCACAGCCATTTGCTTCTACTTGATTTGATTCGAAACTGCACGGCGCAGTGGGAAGAACATCTGGCGCGCCTTCTGTCCCCTTAAACCTCAGCCTGCAGTAGACTTTGGGGTCTGACATTTCGCGCTTAAAGGATCTTAAAGGCATGTGTGTTGCTTCAGGTTTCCTGTGTTTGAGCAAATGCATCACCTTGGAATTTGCAGATGATTACCTGACGGCGGGCTTTGTAGGCCACCACTGGGTAGGCCGGAGTATCAAACAATTTTTTGCATCAAAACATATTAATCTATTAAGTCCACCAAAAAACAATCTGCCTTTCAGGAAACCCTCGACATGGGCCTGTATCGGCAACGTTTTTAACTTGATAACTTGACCTGATAATATTTGTTGCACTTTCGGTCTTGTTTGTATGTGCACTGTTGGTATTGCAGGCCTTTGGAGCATTCAATGACTGATCTCCTGGCTTCTGTAGCGGTTTTCTGGCTGCGATATTTTAGCTAAAGAAAAACAGAATCGTTGAAATCCCCCCTTACCCACCCAGAATCCGTTGAAACAAAAGAAACAAAACATATCAGCAAAAGCAACCAGAAGCTGAAAGCCACCAAAAGCCAAGAAGCCAAGCCAAAAGCAACCACAAAACAAAAAGCATCACAAATCAACCCAATTTCAACAAAGGCCAAAGTAGCCACCAGGAAAAACACATTGCCCCTAATACAGCCATTCCAAATCGCACTTTCGATTGGCGCACAAATGCCTAAGGTAGCCTCATCTATTCTTGGGTACCAAACGGCTAAGTGTGGGAATGCATAGTTCTCACTTCAATTGTAGTCGCCGGTGGTACCGCAGCGGGTCTGAACGTTCAACCGGGGGTCTGCGGAAAAAGCAAGCTTTCTGATTCTTAGCATTTCAGTCTATAAGGATACTATGTGAAGCTTCCGTGGGAGGGCGCAGCGCTCCCCCATTAGCACACAGCATGCATTGACTTGAAAGCAAAGTGCTAGGGGACCACAGCACATCGATGATGGAACCACAGCCAAGAAGAGACCAGGGATTGGAGACCAGGGGGCCAGTGGATGAGCGGAACAACCACGGGACCGAATCCTATTTTTGCGGTTGATATTAATTTGTTCCTTGATGCGCATCATTTTCTGAGAGGTATCACCACACAAAAAGGGGCATCACTTGACAAACGCAGTCCTTCGTCGTTCTGAAGCCTCGGGCCGCATGATATGACTTGAATGAATCTATCTGCCAAGTTCACCTCTGACCAAGTCAACATCATCAAACAAAGTCTTTGGGTCGGTCGGGTGATGATATGGAAACAACAATGGGTTATTAAACAGCTCGCCGTCTTAGCGACAGTTTTAGCAAAAAAGTATTCATGGATCTTAGTGGTGCTCATTTGCCAACCCAAAGCACCCCAATTCAGCCGGTGAAATCTCCAACTTTTAGGCGGGCCACTTGTGGCACTTGAAGCTGTGGATCAACTCTGCGCTTCGAAGGTTCCACAACTGCAAATTCCCCTCGCTGCCGGCCACTAGGACCTAAACACCGAAGACCAAATCAATCGGTGTGATGAGGCACTTGGGTCGAGACAAAGTGCCAACAACTTAATATTGATCTGAAAGAAAGGCAGTTCTTATGCCGTCCCACCTTGTTCAAGTAGGTGGGCGGATGCCGGATGCATGTCACCTCCCCAAAGTCCTTCGAGACGGAACATGCAAATGCAGGCGCTTGGATATGCTGAGCTTCGAGAACTGGGGATGCACTATGACAGAAGTCTAGTGGGAGATTGTCCTTTGAGCAGGCCTATGTCCCTTACTATGTACTGTCGGTGATTCAAGACTTTAGATGTCCACCATTTTCTCCGTCTCAGAATGGCTTTGTAAATTTTGTGGTTCTTTCTGTCAAGGACCGCAACAAACTCCATGGGTGGATCTTTCCCACCGTTGGAACACCTCCGAGCAGTTGAGCTTCATGTTCCAAACGCCCAGTGCTGGGCATCCTGGGCACATGTTCTCCCATTCTCCTGACCCACGTTGAGGCGGCTGAGTGGACCGAGGACGCACTTTCCCTCGCGGGATTCCAAAAGAGTCTCTGCCTCAAAACGTGCTCCGGGATGGTGCCAGTGGCCCCAAAAAACTGGCTTGAAACTAGCGGAAACTATATAGTTACTTAGATAGTGGGCAATATGATGGAATATTATATATATATGTATATATATATATATGTATAGCAAGCATTCTGAAGTGTTGGGCCAGGGATTTGTTTGGGGATTTAGTATCTTTCCATCAGTCTGTTGCGGGGCTGCGAACTCCTGCTTTTTGGTACTGGGCATGAAGATAGGTCTTGCTGTGCAGACTTCTGGCAGTGCGTTGCAAACTCTTTTAAGAACCTTGTGCTTTTCACTAGTCTTATCCTCCATGATTTATGATGGTCTGTAAAACGTAAGATTCCAAACCTCTTTTTGACACAACGGTGCCTCCAGATTTCCGACCTCTGACAGTTGCCACACGATCCTCAGTTGGAAATGAACCTTGCCCAAAGGAGGCCATGAAAATGAATCCCACCCGGCGATCGTTTCAACTCTCCCTGGATCAAAGAAACCTGAAAGGGTGGGGAACAACTTGTAGAGCAGAGGAACAAAACGAACATGATCTTCACTTGTCCACCTTCCATTCCTTTCATCTTCTCTTCGCTTCTGTGTTGAAGAAAAGGAGTTTCAGTGTCATTCTGCTCAGCCCTGCCGGTCTTCAAATAAAGTAGACTTCAGATTCTGCCTTCAGCAGCAACCGCCCAAAATACCCACCGACCTGGTCCCATTTTTTCGAGTGACTAATGCCCAAATGACCCCCAAAGGTTTTACCACCCAACTGAGGTGATTCTGCCGTCCAGTCAGGAGATACTTGACTTGTGCATCACCTTTTAGAAATGCCCGTAGTTCTTATTGAACACGTATTTGTGTTGTGCAAACGTGCATTAAAGACATGGTGTAAGAACATGTTCGCATAGAAGAGGCCAGGTTGCTTTGGAAAGCATGGATGTTCAGTTCCGATTGTTTCCGCTTTGAGTGATGAAGGTTCAGTTTGTCTCGCCAAGGATCAACTCCTTTCCCGCGGCTGAGAGCAAGTAGCTGGAACCCACCGCGCAAAGCACCGTGGCGGCTGTGTGATGCCCACGAAAGCGACCCAATTCGGTCAACTTGTGCCACACCACGACGTCCTGACGTGCGTCAGGTCGCGGCTGCGAAACCATTCGCACGCGTTCACCACCCTATTGAATAGGAGAGAAAACAGCTAGAAAACTCTGGGAATGGCCTGACACTACAGACGGAAAGTCAATAATTGCCTTTCAACATATATATATATATAACACAATTACACACACATTACATAGATTTCGCCACCGTAGACCCCAAACAGTTTGTGTTTTTCAAAAACGGAACACCCTGCAAATAGAGCTTGCGACGTCCAGAGCTGGGAGACAAATGATGGCACGGCAGAGGCGGCCACAGCAATCCAGAGCTTGCAAACAAATGTAAACACAGGGAGACAAATGTAAAGGATTGCAAGCGATGACGGAAAGCGATGAATATCGCTCTGAATTTCTCCCCGGTAGGTTTTGCTGGGGGGGGGTTTGGGGGGGGTGACAGTTTCGAGATTTTGATTTGCAGACTTTTGGGTGTCTTGAGGCAGTATGTTGAAGTTAACGAAACACTGTAAAACACAGCAAAAAATAAGACTTTTTGACATCATTAATGCAATGTTTTCTGACAAACTGGGCCCCGACTTTCCACAAGGGCATCGGATACAAAAATGACAGAGAACATGCTAAAAAAAATCGGGAGCATTCCACAGCACCACTTGCATCATTACGAGGTGCATGGGAGGCACAAAGAGCACAAAAGAGACGGAAACAAAGCAAATCAACTTAAGATGAGAATTTTCTTGAAACCAAGGCCCACAAGAAGACAAAAAGAGCACAGAAGAGACAGAAACAAAGCAAACCAACTTAAGATGAGAGTTGTTTGAAGCCAAGGCCCACAAGAAGACAGAAAGAGCACAGAAGAGACAGAAGCAAAGCAAATCAACTTAAGATGAGAGTTTTTTGGCACCAAGGCCCACAAGAAGACAGAAAGAGCACAGAAGAGACAGAAACAAAGCACATCAACTTAAGCTGAGAGTTTTTGGACACCAAGCCCCACAAGAAGACAGAAAGAGCACAGAAGAGACAGAAGCAAAGCAAATCAACTTAAGATGAGAGTTTTTTGACACCAAGGCCCACAAGAAGACAGAAAGAGCACAGAAGAGATAGAAGCAAAGCCAATCAACTTAAGATGAGAGTTTTTTGACACCAAGG